GCCAATTATGCATTCCCCAGACCTCCCTATATAATATCCTACCAAATCAACTAAAGGTGCATAATGTATATTAAAAGAAATACATATTAACTTGCTTAAGAAAAGCATGCATCAAACCACTGAAACAAAAAATGCTCTGGAATATTAAATCAACAATTATAGCAGCACCTTGTAACTCCCTAATTATGAGCTTAAAATTCTGAAACAGACGACCACGAAATCTTTGCATTAGTGGGAAGTTTGTAAATTTGAAAGAAAAATTGAACGCAGGTTATATGCAATTGAATAAGAAGTATCCATTTCACACAATACAAAACAAAATCAATATCCTTGTGTGAAACTTCATATCATAAAATAAACTATACTGAAGAATCTGTTTTGGCCAATAAATCCTTGAAAATCAAAATGATATAACATTCAACATTCAATTTAGGAATAAGTAATTACAAGTATAATCGAAAGGCAAACCGTGAAAATTGGGATTTGACAATGCACTGAATCCCTTGTTATACACTTATACTTATTCCTGAGAATAAGGTTTTTTCTTGAGGCTTGCCCTCTTGTTTGGGTACGACCGGACAATGTACCTCTTCTGTAATCATCAGTGCAAGTCTCACATTGTACTCAAAATCTAAGTACATATCAAAACTATCAAGCAACACCAACAACGATTTATAAGTACACATCACCTTCACATCATCAAGTCTGCACAGCAGCCTCTTTCAACAATGAAAAATGACAAAAGTAGTAATAAAACATAACTCGACATAACAAATCACAAACAGTAAAAAAGTGTTAAAAACAAAGGGAAGAAATGTGAGTCTTAATGAAAACAGCTCAAATAAATGTGAATAAAGGCAAGAAACAATAACCAAATTATAAGGGAAGAAAATTGCAATAGCTAGGAAGAGCCAATTACCATTCCAAGACATTCTTGTAGTCTTCCAGGATCTTTTGAGAATTAATCATTGCATTCCTAAGTGACAAATGACCAAAGAAGCCAATGTGCTTGGAAACTATGGATGGAATTAGGAGCAAAAGTTATGTTACTTAAAGACCATCAATAAAATAAGATGCACATAAGTTGTAAATGTTCAGGTGTTATAAAATGACACTAATCATTTCTTGTAAAACCTATAATAATAAGCATATAGATCCTGGAAGACTACAAGCAAGCTCTAACCTTTTAACTACGTACATCCCTATGAATGTTTTGTATCCATTTCAGCTTTAGACTTCTGTAGTCCAATCAGATTCATATTAATGTGCTCATCTCTTAGATGATTCTGGTTCAAGGATAAAATGAATATTCTGAATCCATTTCAGCTTTTGATTCCTTGCATTGCTGGAAGAATGAGGCCATCCCAAATTACTTTCACAAAGTAAAAAAGTAATACATACAAGAGATCTCTAATACTCAAGTTCATATAAAAGCTGAAATACTTCAAAAATACATACTCATCAAGCTCATATAAACATTTCATAAGTTCTGATTAATAAACTAATAAATTCTCATCTGTGACCACTTAAGTAACTGAGTTTGTTCATATTTCTACAAAGTGCTTTCTTAAGCTTAACATAATCTTAACACAAACAAAACTGAACCCACCACCAAAAAAAGGCATAGACATTACACAGTACAATGAACTAATCAATTCAAAGAGCCACTAGAGGGTCCGACCCGAATATATCCCCGAAATCTTGAAGGTACCTGTCGGCCGTCCAGGTGTAGGACTCTAACCCGAATTGCTAGCTTGACCCGATGAGTGTGTCGTTGTAGGCTTCGTCCACAACATTGTTACAGTAACGAGGAACAACGAAATAGTAACGATGAATAAAAACTAAACCAGCGAGAATCAACGAGAATTATTTGAAGGGTTTCCATATTAGATGATAAAATTGAAGGAATACTTATGTAGAAGATGAAGGATCATTTACATACCTGAAATCAACGATAATAAGTCGCGAAGAAGACCTAGCGAGGACCAACCAGCCGTGAGACGCGCAGCAGACCCAAGAAACCGGCGGATGAGGGAGCAAGGAACGATGGAGAAAGCCGGCGATGGAGAATGGCGCAGAGGTAGGGTTAAACGATGATGAATTATGAAATGGGTGAGCTGAGAATCCCTCCGTATCGTAAGCTTTGTCTAGTAGCTGGGCCGCGCGCCGGCCCAACGCGTGCCTTATTAGTTCAAGAATATACTCCGTAAAAATGTTAAGTGTCACTACTTGAGTCTAATGTATTTGTGTTAGCAAATAGTGACACTTTTGTGTTATTAGTGCCATTATATAAGAAAGTGTCACTATAAAAGTGTCACTGTAAGCCACTTTTCTACTAGTGATACAAAGAGGAAATAAATAAATAAATACTACTACGTAGTATATAAATAAAGCAAAAGAACAATAATGGAAAGAGATAACTCCTCCGTAATAGATAAGAAAGAGAATTAATTATATCTACAAAATAGGAAGAAAGCATGTTAATGCAACCGGCAAAAGAAAAACGAAATGTCAAATTTGCCCAATAAATCTAATGGCTAATATTTATTCTCATTTCTCTCGTAAGATGTCTTTCTCACTTGATCCTAAATATATATATATATATATATATATATATATATATATATATATATATATATATATATATATATATATATATGCACACACACACATAGGGGAAGGTTCAGGTGAGAATGATCTCGCAGGAGAGAAATGGGAATAAAATCTAACCTTCAATTTTCTTAATCTCACGGCCAAAACAATTTCTGCACTCTTTTCGGATCACTAAATTCATAGATTAGGGAAGCATATAACTGAACATTAAATGAGGAACAATATGATGAATTTCTTTTGAATAGTTTCACCGAGGAAGCATTGTAATAGGAAAGACATCCTCTAAAATAGGATAATTATTAGTAAGGAGTAAATCCCTCTAAAAACTAATAAATACGTTACCTTATTTTTTACTTTTTATAAATGGCTAACTCCTCACATATAATCGGATAACTACTATAATAATCAAAATTATTCAAATTGTGCATCTTTTTGAGGTTTTATCATTTTCTCATATGCAATATCTCATTCACCTATATTTTCAATGTGCACTTCGACACATAGTAACTGCACTTCTATTAGAAATATTGTGCAACATCAACTTTATCAAATATTTAATTATTTTTGCATTTTGATGTGTTTATTAAATTAATTTGTAATGTTGTAAACTGCACTCTTAAGTCATTAGTTTGCAATTTTTATTAAATAAACTTACACTTTACACATGCAATTTTGCACATCGATATATGTTTCAAATAAAAATGAACATAAATATACAAGAGTGTATAATAACAATTGTTATGCATGTGCATTTTAAATATAGACAAAAGTGCACTATATAATTGCACTTCGAAGTTTATACATTGGTACTTTTTTACAAAACAAAATGCACTTTTATAGTATACACTTTTAAAATTTTACATTAACTCTTTTTACAAAATGAAATGCACTTTTCTTCTAAAAACATCATGGCAATTTCATTGTAATAATGTCTTTTGATGTCACGTGTATCTGTAAAAAAGTAAAATAAAAGAATAATTGAATGTGCATGAACATAGTATGGTAAGTGCATCAAAACTTTAGTAAAAAAATCATCGTGAACAAAGTATGGCAATGATGCAACAATAATGTGAAGAAGTGCAAGAACAAGCATATATTATTGCATCCAATTCAACAACCCTCGTTTTTATATCTGTGAAATTTTTAGATGTAGGAAAAATTTAACAATAGTGAACCATTTTCAAGTGCCAGAATCTATCAGAAGCAAATAAATCGTCAATAAAATAAGAATGGATACAAGAAACGTTGATTAAACAAGCACTTGATCTGTGGATAGAAACATATTTTTGAAAGCAAAATTCACAAATAAAATCGATAAATATCAGCAATTAAATTGTTTTACCTGCGATCCATGTAGAGGAGATAATATTGTTCAGGAGGCAGAGAGCTTGTATGAAGAAGATAAAGAATTAGCATAAGATCAAGAACAAAAGATGAAGATGGGGCGTAAGAGGTTTTTGAGAATATGTTGGTACATTCACTACGTTGAGATGAATCCTCCAAATCATGTGGCTAAAGATTAGGATCACAAATGGAAAGAAGATAAATTGACCATAAAAGCCCTGAATGAAAATATTAAGTAAATAAATAAAAAAATAAGATCTAAGGGCTATCATTTGTTCTCATTTCTCTCCTAAGATGGTTTTCTCACATGAACCTAAATCTACACACACACACACACACACACACAAAACTACAGTGTTTTTCCATAATTTATTTAGTTGACTTACTTATTGAATTTTAAGCTGAAGTGTGGTGGATGTAATCTACACTTCATGACAAACATGGTTACAGAATTTTATTAAAAAATTCTACCCGAAAGTATGTCAAATAGAGGCTTTTATTGACGGCACTAAAGTCGTTGTGTGCCTCAAAATAAAATCAATACTAATACTTATGCGTAGTATAGTGAAGTAGTGTTCGTATCAACAGGGAAAAGAATACTTTCTTTTATGAAACTAGTAATTTAAAGGGAGAGTTTTAATGTTGATTTCACTACTAGAAAAAGGACTTTTAGTAATGAAAAATATGGTCGTTATAGGCCCAAAAGTTTGTCGTTAAAGCTTTTAACGATGACTTTTTTTCGTCATCAAGTGGTCGTTACAGCCTCCGTCGTTATTGGTTTTAACGACAAAGTTCGTCGTTAATAATTAACGACGATACAAGATGTCGTCGTTACTTATTAACGACAAGATATTCGTTCGTCGTTGCATTTTAACGACAACATAATTGTTCATTGTCGTATTGAAACATCATGTTTAATTGTCATTAATTTTAATGCAATTTGTTTACATCATTACGTATCGAATAGCAACAATGTTTTCATAATAACCAATGAACATACAAACCCCACTTAAATACCTCTATATATACCAGGTTTTCAAAATTTTATAATATTAATAAAATATTTTGTAATTGATTATAAATACATGAAATAAATTCAATACTTGTACATTGAACAACAAACTTCTAATCTTCTAATAAATTCCACAATAAACAAATTAATAATCTTTTACTATTTACATATAACAATATAGTAAGTTGATACAATATAGTAATCATCCTCATAATCATTCAAGGACAGGACCCCACCCTATTCTCAAACCCTCTGCCGACCTTGTCCGCATTTCCTTTTGAAGGGGAACAAAATGTCTCCACCTGCTGCCAACAGTCTTTCTTCGGAATTATACTGAACAGGTCGATCCTCCCATCCCGTTTGTCTTAGCAACTTCTCCAAAGGTCTCCTCGCCAAGAGTTCCCCTACAACGACAGAGGAAGCAACATGTCTGCTGTGGCGGGGCAGCTTTTTCTTTCACAATAAGACCTGGACGATTATCCCTACCTTTGTTGTCAAACACGTCTCATGAAATATATAGAGAAGTGGTCACAAAGTAACAATTTGACGGCACTGCTCTAATTTCTCATCTTTAAACACCTACAAAAAAAATCAGATTTGCTAATAAAATGATAAATAGTTATAAGAGAACCAATCTTTCTCAAAACCAGTAGGTCAGGAACATATCTAAAAACGAGAGAAAACAATAACAATTGTAATTTGAGAATTCATACCTTGTGATCCACTCTTACACTCTAAGAAGAGGGATGGAAACATTATGTTGCTTTATCACTAGGTTGTGGTCCAATTATATCTTTACACTTCATTCCTCCTCCACAACTCAACCATGGGACTTCGACTTTAAAACTTTTTGTGCTACCTTTACTAAGGGAAGAATGCAACACAACGTGAATTTTAAAATGTGAATTTTAAAATGTGAATTTTGAATGCACTACTCTCAAAAACAATAGTTACCTCAACATTACAAAGTGAAGAGTCTTTTTCCATTATCTCACAAATTTGAATTTTTCCTGCAAAAATACAGACCATAACCAAACCATCAAGAATACAATCACACACAGGAGTCCGAAACCAAACAAATACACTATGAGTGTGAGACTCTTTTCGGGAGAATAGAACCCTGCACATATATTTTATGCAATGGTCAATAAAACAACAGTACGTGTTTGAAGCTATTAGAGCATGAGTTTTCCCTAGCCGAGGCACTTTATGGTGACCATTTTATCTTGACACACCTAGATAATAGGCAACTCCTCATTAATTCACATCCAACTGGTTAAGTTGTCAAACTTGATCAGTTCATGAGGCACCAGCAGGCAACACAAGAGGCATATGAAGAAGATGAAAATATGCACGGTGGTGGTGGACTAGTGGCCAGATGGTCCAGTGCACCCAGCAGCTATGAAGCACGGATACTTCCCTAGGGTAGCGTATCGGCGTATCGGATACGTTCCCGTATCCGATACTCTAGGATACCCGTACCGTACGTTCCCGGGCCGTATCTGTAATTTTTAAAAGTTTCCATTTTTTTTGTATTTTTTTGAAAGTTTCCGATACTCGTATCCTGACGGATACCCGTATCAACTTTGTTGAATAAAAAAAACCAAAATTTACTTAATGAAATTCTAAAAAAATGAGAATCTAAAACTACATTTTACTTGGTAATCAAATAATGGGCTTATATGGTATATCTGAATCAACTCAATCAAGTCATCAACTCATGCTCCGTATCTAATTTACTGAGCAAGTCCAGAAGCCTATCTCTAACCCAGTATTGGAGGCCGTTTTTTTGGAAGATGATATTATTCCTTGAAATTAATACTTCCGGTGAAAATATATATTAGAAGTTAGAGCTTTTAAAATATTGTTTTCTATTTAATTATTCTAGAACTTTGGTACTTGCACTTTTAATTTCAAGATTGTAGTTGTTTGACTTATTTCTCATTTTAAATTAATGACTTATCGACTACATGTCTACATTTATATTTCGAGATGCACTAGTGTATATGAGAAATATTATGATGTATATGTAATGAATGGGTATATATGTATATATAGGATATATATATATCCAAAAAAAATATTTTTTTTGTATATTTCATAGGATATTATATGTATATATTTAAAAAAAACTATTTTTAATATTTATAAATACACCCCTGTAACTTTTAATATTTTTAAATACACCCCCATAACTTTTAATATTTATAAATATGGCCCCGTATCCGTATCCTACTTTTTTTTGTTTTGCCGTATCCCCGTACCCGTGTCCGCGTTTCCTCGATTCCGCGTACCGGTATCGGTGCTACATAGCCCAGCAGTGATTTTTATTGGGAAACGTATTTTATTTAAAAACAGTTCATAAGGTTCCACTACACCCAATTGTATTTTTTATAGGAAATGAATTTTGTTTTAGAACAGTTCATAAAAGTATTATATTTTGGAAATAAAAAAGTTCTGGATTAAACGGTAGAATAACCTACCAATCAAAGGACAAAAAATAGTTTTTCCCCTTCTAAAATTCTATTTGCCACTACAATCAGGACTATTACGTACCAGCCTGGTAGAATCATAGCTCAACAGTCAACCCAAGGCAAAATCAATTAAGTTTCCCCTGCAACCAAGTCAGACGTATGCTGCCATTGAGAGAGAGAAACATCTCTCTAAGACTTAGATCCTCAAACAACTCAAGAGGTGGATAATAATGTACGTCGTTTATGCCTTCCCTATCATCCAATGCTTTAACACACTCATACTGAATCTTTTGTCAGATTAGGGAGGGGCACCAATTGACCCCACCTTTGATGAAGCTATCATAACTTGCAAGGTTTGCAAGATAACGTTAATCATCTCACTGTCCCGATAATTGTCACAGTGTCACCTGAATCTGGAACTGCATCACGGGGGTGCTTTCACTTCTTTTTTGTTCTAGTCTTAGTCATGGACTTTGGCGATCAACCAGGGAAGTATGTCAAAGGGGATGGGGTCATAGGTGATGTATTTTGGTTTTCTGCTACAGACGAATGATCCTATTGCTGCTGCTGATTTTTTCAATTCTCCATAGTGACTCGACTGCACAAACTTCCCCTCAGCATCAGGCTCTTCGAAAATCAAACACAATTCCTCATATATTGGACATTCCTTAATCTTAACCGTTTCTTGTTTCAGTTGACCCCCTATGTATTCCCAAAGATCAAAACCATCAAAACAATCTGCCAATGAATCATGTTGACCAGAAGTAGATGACTTGAAAGAGTAGTAACGAGTCATGAGTACATCAAGGTGTTTCCTCAACTGATTGTTGTTGAAATTGAGGTTTCTTTGTCTGTTAAACTTATTGCAGATACAGTTCCAGGTTTTCTTATCAAAGACATTGTTTGGTCTGTTCCTAGCCTAATCTGCTCACCAACTAGTTCTGCAAAGATCTTGTCAACAGATGGTGTCCATCTTGTTCTCAGACGCTCTTGCTTTGGCTGCTGATGGTTAGTATCTATATCCATCAAATGGGTATCAACTTCTCATGTGCAGCCAGAGGCAAGGAGTGTTGCTGTTAACTACCAGCATTCAGAAAGTACTGGCATTATCACAAGCCTTGAGAATTCTCAGATCAGAAAGAATATAACTTCCACAGCAACTACCCACCTTCTTCATAAAAGTATTGTTTAATAGTCATAAGCGAGTATATCCTAAATTAGAAAGTTAATGTCTAAGAGCAAAACTATATAGATGAATCAAGATCATGATGTCAAATGCCGAGAGAAAGAGAGGGAGGAAGCATGAAAGACAAATATAATTCATAATTATATAGATATCCTGAATGCATATTATTCATATATAGACATCACAATTAGTTGAACCTTGTAAACATATTTTTCCTGAATGAAAATAAAGATATATATACAAATCAATTCTTTCAAACAAAAATAAGCATATCAGCTCGAAAAGAATAGAAATAGTACTGTCAGAAAAAAAACTGGGAGAATGAAATCATGAAATATTGACTCAAGGATTCCAAGCCATAATTTGCTTTTAGGAGACAGAGGGAACTTATACCTCTCAGCCGAACTTCACTAGCATAGAAATCCAACATCTGTTGATTTAAAAAAAAAAGAATCATGAAATTTTGAGTTCGCACTTACTCAAACTATAATTTAAACATGTAATACAATTTAAATCAATAAGAGTTACGACAATCACTAGTTTATCATATACTCCGTTTTAAATTTTTGAAAGTTTAAAACCTGAAAAATAACTAATTAAAAAAAGTCTGAAGTAGTATTTAATAACTAGTTAATTAAGTTAAATATATGCAAACTAGACAACTAATATACGTAGTACTACATATCAAAAAGTTTAATAACTACTCCTTAAAATCATAACAAGTTTATTTTGTAAGAATTTAGAAAATATCAATAGAAAGCATAGATATTCTTCATCAATTTCAAAATTTAGAGAATAGATAATAACTTCTCCAATAATCCCTCTTCAAGAACTTCGAGATTCAAGAGTTTTCAAATTTAAGCTTTAGAATTGAACTTTTTTAATCGGATGTGTAGTAATACTTTAACGGGTTATATTTCAAGTTTTCAACTGTAAAATTCATCATAGCATCACAAATAACAACTTAAGTGCATTAATCAGCTTACTCTTTTTATCAATTTTAAATATATTGTAATATGTACCAATACTACTTTATATTACTTGGAGCAGGTTTAGCAATTCAGTAATTTAAAAAACCAGAATACAGAAAGAATAAAATTTCACTGATTCAGCCAAGCAAATAAATATGTCAAATAAGCCAAGCAAATGAACGAAGCAAATCACCCAACCAAATCGCCTAAGAAACTCAGCCAAGCAAATCAACGTACCAAGCAAACTAGCCATATAATTGTTGAAAACTGTAAACTTTCTTTTTTTTTGTATTCAACACTAAGTTAGTGCCTTTTTGTTTGAGCAACACTACGCTGACCCCCATCGTGTGCCAGCCTTAGTACTCTCACATATCCCAGTGACTGTAGTTTATAGTGGTCTTTCCCAGTGATACTGGTACTTGGCGGCTCACGAGCAACATATAGAATTAGGTTCGAAAACTTCTTTTTTGTTTGATTGATTCATACAAGAAGATTAGAATAATAGATATTGGCGATTAAACTTACCTAGGGCAAGAAGGTTGAGAAATCAAACGACAATCTCAAATCTACTCATAGATGGATCAAGTTAAGCAAGAGGACCCTTAACCAATCCAGCAACGAATATGTAGCTAATGGAACCAGATGAACGCTACAGCGAAGTGAATGACCGAACGATGCGGATGATCGAGTGAGGCGATTCTCTAAGAATCCTTTAAGCAGCGACTTTAGTTTCAGATCCTTGGGAATAATAAGCGTGGAGATGAGCAACTTTTGTATCTGAGCGAGGAAGATTAGGGCAAATCAGCGAGGTGACGGATCAGATTAGGGAAAATCACAGCGGCGACGGAGATTAGGGCATACGGAGGGAGTATAACGATGTCATTCTTAAGGCTCTTTAGCCTAACCGACTGAAGTACATTATACGAGAGTACTAGCTGATGGAGCGCGAAAGTATTTGGAATTGGGAAATTTTGGCCCCATACGTAATATTTGCAATAATCTATATACGATTGATCGTTCGTTTTCCAAAGTTTTTTATATAATAAATACGTACTATAAAAAATTGATTCGTAATAACAATGACTACATATTGATTAATAGCGACCACTTTTCATAATTAGTTGTTAATGATAAATTTAATCACGACGAACTAATTAGTTATTGTTAAAAGATACTTTTAACTACAATTTATTAGAGTCATCGTTATAAGATGGTCGTTAAAACCCGTTTTTCTTGTAGTGTTTGATTTAAATTAATTAAATACTAAGATGAACGACTTATATGATTTTAATTAATTAATGAGATAAAAGACTTGTGTTATTGTTATCTTATATTTATTTATCTTTATTTTATTCGTTTTATCTTACTTTTTTTCTTCCCTTTCTTATCCGTCTTCTCTGTTTGGCATCGATATCATAGTCGATTCATGTTAGCCAACTCCAAATTCTTTCGGGATTAAGGCTTGGATGTTATTGTTGTTGTTGAATGAGATAAAAAACTTGACTTTGCTACTTTCCGATTGTTGATATGTTTGTTGATCCCGGTTATATCTATAACTTATCCCCTCTCGAATACTCAATCGAGGAATATCTCCAATTCATCGAGGGTGGTTATTAATAACGATCGTTCATTAATAACCCTTACTATTAGTCAAGTATAGAACACCGCCATATACTGATTCGATAATAGTTTTTAATCTCTTAACTCCTTAATGAAATCAGTTGAGATTGATAACCTCAACACAACAGTTACGGTTTAACCAACACAATTAATCCCTCTTAAGATTATTAACCACGATCGTGCATTAATAATCTGAAGTTACTTACTTGTGAAACCATCAATGATTAACCATTCGGGTTCATTGATCGTTTCTAGTAGTAATTAATGTCAAGTTTTAACTAATTATCATCTTAACAACACTCTCCAACATTAATATAGAGATAAAATAAGGGAATAATTAATATTCAAGGGACGAAGTAAGAAAATAACTCACAACTATAGCATTCAACAAGCTTCAAGAGGAAAACCAAGAAATGGAAGTTTAGCTTCTCATTTGGAGACTAAACAATGCTAGAAAAATATTAAAAAAAAATACTATTCTAAGTTGAGCTTAAGTATATAGAAGAATGGATATAAAAATGGGAAGGAAAAGAGGTGTATTTATAAGTGTTTTGGTGAGGATAGGTCTAATACCCGACCGGGTATAGAGGATACCCGACCGTGTATCTATGACAATAGCCACGAAAGTGCTGAAATGTAGTCATACCCGACCGGGTATGTCAATATACCCGACCGGGTATATGACCAAATCTGATTTCCCCACGTTCTCTTGCTTTATTTGATCTTGTAAATCTCCGGGTCAAATCATACTCGATCGGATATGAAACCAAATCACATTTTTTGCATGATTTCTTGCTCCCTTGCACCTTACTTTGATTTTGTAAGATCCCTTCCATAATCCTTTGTTGATCCTTCATTGATTCTTGATCAGGATGATTCTAAATTTACTAAATTACAACAAACTAAAAAATTAAAATGATTGCACCGTGAATGTGCAATTACCACAATAACACACCGTAAAAACTAATTTAAAGTAAAAATATAAACACTCAAAAATCAATGCAATCAACTCCCCCACACTTAACTTTAAAGTTACCTTTGGTCCGCTATTTGAAACCCTCAGGACCATATAATTAATTTCCATTGATGAAGACTCCGTTAGGTTACGTTCGGAAATGGTTTGGGAATTAGAGTTTTAGATTTGGCCTTGTGGTTTGTATTATTGGGGAGGATTTGTTTGAGAATTTCCGTACCTTAAATTCAGATGATCCCTCCATCCCGGGTTGTAGGTATTGCCTTGAGGATCGTACCTCCTTTGACCTTGGAACCCCCAAAGCATTGACTTGCTCGGAGTTCTCTTCTTGTAGTGTCGGGCAAGAATCTGTGGGATGCCCTTGCGTTGAACAGATGTCGCAGACCTTGACTTCTTGGGTTTTTGGATTTAAAAGGAAATCTTTGACCAAAGAAGTCAAGCCGGCTACTTGACTCTCCAACGAGTTGTTGGATTCCGCTGCCATGACTCGTTTTGATGATGACCTTCCGTTGTAATGTCTCGAGTTTTCGGCCAACTCCGAAATGAGGTCTGTTGCTTGAGAAGGGGTTTTGTTAACAATACCCCCTCCGCATGCTGCATTCACCATGCGTCTATCTTGATCAACAAGTCCATCATAGAAGTAGAGGATGAGATCTTGTTCTGAATATCCATGATATGGGCAACTAGCACATAATTTTTTAAAGCGCTCCCAATATTCATACAAGGTCTCATTATCTGCTTGCTCAATGTTGCTGATTTGCTTCTTGAGACTTGAAGAGATAGATGCGGGATAGTACCTGTCAAGGAAGCTCTTTTTCATTTGAGCCCATGTGTTGATGCTCCACGAGGGAAGATAAAATAACCAATCTTTGGCGGTGTCTTTGAGGGAAAATGGGAAGGCTCTCAGCTTGATTTGTTCCTCGGACACGCCATTGGGGCACATGCTTGTGCACACAATATGGAACTCTGACAAGTGCTTATTTGGATCTTCCCCTCGTAGGCCATGGAAAGAGGGGAGTAGATGAATGAGCCCAGATTTTAGCTCGAATGTGACCCCCGTATCAAGAGTTGGAAAAGTGATACATAAGGGTTGTTGATTTAGATTCGGAGCCGTGAGCTCCCTCAACGTTCTTGTTTCAAGAGCCATGTGAAAGGACTCTTCGGATTCGCTAGAATGAGAACTAGCACTTGATGATTCCTCCGAAGAAGTATTCGGAAATAGATTCCTGAACCTCTCGAAGGCTTGTTCTGTTTCGGGTTTTGTTTGGTAGGTGATTTGGTTTATAGATCGGTGTTTAACCATATACTCAAACAAAGCTCAGCCAAAATAGAAATCTTTTAAATGATTTTTTTTTTATTTTTCTTGAAATAAAATAAAAAGAAAAATTAATTGCCTTTCCCCGGCAACGGCGCCAAATTTGACGGGCACTTTGTCACGGTGCGTCAAAATAAATTCAATACTAAACACCTATACGTAGTATAGCGTAGTAGAGTTCGTATCCACAGGGAAAGGAATGATTTTCTTTCTATGAAACTAGTAATAAAAAGGGGGGTTTTGGTTTTGAGTGATTTAATTTAATTAAAAAACTAAGATGAACAACCTATATGTGTTTAATTCAAGAATAAAAGGGACTTGACATTGCTACTTTCCACTTGTTGATATATTTTAGTCGATCATCGTCATATCTATAACTTATTCCCTCTCGAATACTCAATCGGGGAGTATATCCACTTCATCGAGGGTAGTTATTAACAACGACCGTTCACTAATAACTCTTACTATTAATCAAATATAGAACAACGCCTTATACCGATTTAATAGTAGCATTTAATCTTTCTAACTCCTTGATGAAATCAATTGAGATTGATAACCTCAACACAAGCGGTTTCGGTTTAACCAACAAAATTAATCCCTCTTAAGTTTATTAACCACGACTGTGCATTAATAAACCGAAGTTACTTACTTGTGAAACCATCAACGATTAACCATCGGATCGTTGATCGTTTCTAGTAATAACTAATAGTCTAATATATGAAACAAAACTAGTTGATCCTTTAAGTAATGTTCAAAATATTAATATGAAATATGAGTAGGGATTAATTAATATTCAAGGAAGAATATTATTAAAGAAGATGAATCCTACTATAATTAATATCAAGATGCTAACTAATTGTCATCTTAGCAACACTCCCCAATATTAATATAGAGGAAGAAAATATCATTCTAACTAATGTCGAGATGTTAACTAATTGTCATCTTAGCAACACTCCTCAACATCAATATAGAGATGGTATTAAGGAAAGAACTATTAATTAATATTCAAGGAAAGAAGTTAAGAAAATAACTCACAACTTTAATAATCAACAAGCTTCAAGAGCAACACCAAGAATGGAAGTTTAGCTCCTCATTTGGAGACTAAACATAGCTAGAAAAATATAAAGAAATGCTATTCTAAACTGAGCTTAAGAGTATGGAAGAAGGGATGCTTTTTAGAGGAGAAAAAGAGTGCTATTTATAGGTGTTTTTCAACACCTTTGGCCGGGTACCCGACCGGGTATAGGTACATACCCGACCGGGTACCGGTCAAGATCAGATAATCTCCCACGTTTCATTGTTCCAGCACGTTAATTTGTCCCGGGTCAAGTCAGACCCGACCGGGTCAAGTGAGGGACCCTACCGGGTTTGGTCTAAATCAGATTTTTTTCCAAATCTTTGTGATCTTCAGCATGTTCTGGTGTTCCGGGTCATATCTGACCCGACCGGGTCGGGTAAGGGACCCGACCGGGTCTTACTTTTTCTTCTTAGATCTGTTCTTCAACTGACCTGACCGGGTTCAAGGTCTGACCCGGTCGGGTTTTTGTGCTCCTGGGTCTTTTTGTCTTCAGTTTTTCTCCCCTTCTCCTTGCTACAAACTCTATCACAATTCTATAACTACGAAAAGACGGAGAAAGAAATTACAAACAAAATAAAACAAGTACTTACAAACTAACTAAAAGCGATGGAAAATCCACACCCAATCAACATAAAAACATACATTTATGCACTACAAACTAGTGCATATCAAACACCCCCACACTTGAATTTTTACTCGTCTCGAGTAAAACAAATTCTGTCCAAGAAGTCCTTAATTGACAAGAGTAGCAGCACCAACATCCACAAGTGTTTATAACAAATACATAAAGTATCTCCAAAACAAAAAGAGTAAAGATGGGTCTTCAATTTCAATTCGAACTCTCTATAGTAATCGCCCTCAGGATCCTGCAAAATCAAAAGAAATAACTTTCTCTCATTCTCTCATTTTGCCTAGGTGCCCTTTCAGGTTTTCAACCCTGCTTCCCACATTTTTTTTATTTTTATTTTTATTATTTTTTTTTTATTTTTC